GCGTCATGGCCTGCGTGTGGGGCCCATGGCAGCCGTGTCCCGCAGAGGACGTGTAGGACCGAGCTGTGGGCAGCTGGGGTGTGCTCTGGGGCTTGCTTTCCGGGGCAGGAGTTGAGCCCCGCGGGCAGCCTGCGGCCAGGCGGGTGCTGTCCCTCTGCACGGGGACAGCCCCTCTTCTCAGGAGCACGGCTTGGTTTTTGCGCTGGCATCTCGGCCATAAGCTCTGCACCGGCCCTGTGCTCCGGCACAGCCGGCCATGCGTGTCTGCAGCTCCGGAGCTTGTCACTGTGCTCGCCTCCTCACCGTCCTGTGTCACTGCCTCGCTCGGTCCCTCCGCCACCTGCGCCCATTTCTGCTCCGCTGCTGGCTCTGACGCCCCAGGACCCCGAGTCCCCCTGTGTGCAGCGGTGGGGCCGTGCCCTGGGGAGATGCGCAGGGCACAGCCCGGCGGGGCAGGTCAGTCCCTGAGGCCGGGAGCCCCGGAGGAGGAGCAGGCGCCGGCCTCGCCGGCTGTCGGAGGGGAACAGGCTGCGTCTGATGTCACTGCGGTGCATGGTGGGTAATTATGCACGTTGCAATGAAAATAATAAGGCCGGCTCCATAGCGGTGTCTAAAAATACTGCTAATGCGGAGTGCCTGCCGGGTGCCTTTGTTTGTCACCTTTGGGTGTTTGCTTTGGGGCTGGCTGGGCGGCGGGAGCCATGCTGCGTGGCCTCACACCCCTTGGGCAGTGGGTTTGGTTTAGCAGGTGAACTGCGGCCCCTCCGCTCGGGCAGTGGTGCCAGTGGAGCCAGGGCAGGCGTTGGCATGGGAGGTGAGGCGGGAGCCACCTGGGTGCGTTTGAGAGGCTCTGTTGTCACCCCCCCTGTACAGAGTCATGCAAGGAGTCGCGGTGGGGTGGCAGGGCTTTGTCCCCCCCAGCCTTGTTTGGAGCTGGGCGCTCTGACATGTGGCTATTCCTGTGTCCCAGCGACCTGCCCTGATGTCCCCTGGCAGGTACCAGCGTGCTGGCCTGCCCGCAGGCAGGTTGGCGGAGATCGGGGTTCAGGCCCAGGCAGTGTGGTCTGTTTGTCGCTGGCATTGTGCGGCTGAGGCAGAGCTCTCTGGGGTCGGGGCTGCTGGGCCTTCTCCCCGGGGCTGCCTCTGTGGCGTGTCCTAGCGCCGGCAGGATGGGGACTGTGGCATCTTGCTGCTTTCTGGCTGAGCGAAGGCGGGAGGGAGGGATGGATGCGTGTCTGGAGCAGAGGGAAATGGTGTGATGGGTGCTGGGTGGCACCTGGGTGCTGGCCCGGGGCAAGGGCTGCCCGGGGTGCTGATCCCCGCTCTGCGGGCAGGCAGGCGCTCTGCCCGTCCACTGTCTGTGCAGCTCTTGCTGCTGCTGTGGTCCCTCCATCTGCTGCCAGGAGCTGGTAGCTCCCCGCTGCAGCGGAGGGAGAGGCTTGCAGGGGTGGCGAGAGCCATCTGGAGCCCCGGCTGCTCCAGCCACCGGCCTGGCACACTCGTGGGGGGAAGGTGGCATGTGGCAGGGCAGCAGTGGAGGGCCGGGAAGGGCAGGAGACGGTGAGTCTGCGTGCTCGAGTCTCCGCGACGTCTCTTCCACTTTGTCCACGGGGAGGTCGGAGCGGTGGTGGGTGCTCTTGGTTCCCAGTTGATGCTTGCAGAGGGCTCTGATTCCAGCCGTCGGCTGCAAGAGCTGAGCCTTGTCCCTCTTCACCTTGGAGAGGCATCACCCCGCCTGCGTGCTGGGCTGCCTTGCCTTTAGGGTCATGGCTACGTTTTTGGTGCCCCGTGCTGGGCCCTCCCTTTGCTGGAGGGGGAGCATCGCTGCTGCCTCTGCTCTTGCCAGGCGCTAAATCTGACCTCTGAAGCCACGCGTGGCAGTGACGTTCCCTTGAGCGGTGAAACACGCCATCCCTACCTGCCGTGCCGTGTGGCTCCCCTTTGGTGAGCGAGGAACAAAGAACAAGGGAGAGGAGACTGCGAATCTCCATTGATTTGCACCGTGGAAGCTGCCTGCTGCATGTTTGCGTCTGCCTGCCTGGGACCAGGGCTCTGTGAGGGGAATTGATCAAGCTGTAAAACCCAGAGCCAGCTAATGAAATAGGGACTATAGATTTTTATTTTAAATGGAAGAGAGTTTAGGGGAGATTTAATTATCCCTGTTTTATGGACCTGTTAGAGGAATGAAATAACAGCCGGCAGGTAGGGCCCGGGCTTCAGCTCGCAGCACTTCTTCCAGGTGTGTGCAGAGCCGGCAAAGTCCTGCCACCCCGGGGCAGCGGTGGGGAGTGAAATGAAGTCTCTCGGAGCAGAGCAGGATGGGGCGAAGTCCTGCTTGTCCTGCCAGGTGTCCTTGCTTCCTCGGTGGGAGTATCTGTGCTGAAATAGCAGCGGGCCTGGCCCTGGGGAGGTGGGCTCCTAGC